ATAGCTAGGGGAGTGAAGGTAAGTGGTATAGCCATTGATACAACTACCACACAATACACCATTCCTATGAGAGGCACACACTTGATCATTTAAGAGACTGTAGTCCAATGGAAGAATATGCTCTTCATATCTTTTACTAGTATGGTAATCACAAAGACTTACCACACAATCTGCTGTTGTGAATTTTTCTTTTAAGTATCCAGCCCAAGTTCCAGTGGAAATTACTGCACTTCTATTCTCCAAGCAATGAGGTATGCCATAATAATAGAGATCACTAATACTGTGAGAACAATGACAAGTATCAGCTTGGAATATATATCCTGGAGGACATTGAAATAGTGTAACATTAATGTATAATGCAGCACTGTACTCAGTTGTCTGTAGGAGGAGAGTACCATTGTCACCTATTTGACCATTAAATATTATAACATAATCACGACCAATTGAATGGGTTAAATTCATCTTTATTGGAGTATTGTGAAGCCATGTTGCACTCAATGGAAATAATTGTAAGTTTATAACGCTCTGATTCAACTCATCCAGTTGCATTACATCTATAGTGTATGGTAGTCCAGGAAAAGGAAATAAATGTGTTTTATTTAATAGCAGTCTAGCAGGAGCAGTAGAAACTGATTGAGATACAGAAGAAGAGAAATTAAATTTTCCCATTTTACCGTCAACAAATAATGCTGTAGTATTGCTCTTATACAACTGAACGCATGGCTGAAGAGTGGAAGCAAAGATATCATGACCAATTCCACTAGTAGCACTATTATTGCTAAAGTGAAGTTGCAGTGCAGTGACATCATTTTGTAAAAAGCATGTTCCTTCATATTGCATTATGTTCAATGATTGAATGAAGATTGCCCCACCAATGACAGCAGTGTTGCCAGAAAAATGCAATGTACCATTGAAATATAGATCCATTGCTGTATTATCTATAAAAATAGCCCCTCCATGATCACCAGTGTTATTAACGAAGGTAATACTTGTTTTAGCAGAGCCATTATTTGGATCAGATTTGCCAGTAATATGTAAACGACTATTCAAGAAATATATTGGAGTTCCAGTATTGTTGTAAAAATTCAGTCTGTGAGTCAAAATCACTTCAACGTCAATAGCAAAAATTGTTGCTTTGAATAGTTTACCTTTATATTGTGGATGAGGGCCTTGCAAATCGATACCTGCTGTGTTGTTTATGAATTGATTATCAATTTGAAATTCTACTGAAGTATAAATTGATTGGTACAATTTTTGGCTGCTACCATTGATATCCACAGCTGAAGTCACTTTACCTTTGTTGCCAATAAATTTACAGAAATGAAATCTGATTTTATTTGATCGTGATGTTAAAGAACTAACATCATAAATATCTGAGTGTGGAATTTGAAGAGCAACTCCCCCACCAAACTGTGCTATATTACCAATAATATTACATGCTTGGAAGTTAATAGAGTATCTGTGAACCTTTAAGTAAACATGGTAATCATTTCTATGCACTGTGACAGCAATAGCTCCTCCTCTAGTGCCTGCTATATTATTAATGAAGCTAGAGCCCGTTACAGTAATATTGGTAACAAAAAGATCCTGAAAGGTCACAAATAATGCTCCACCAACAGATGCAGCAGAATTTTTGACAAATTTGCAAACATAGATATTTATGGCAACCTCCCATACTTGAATAATGCGTAAACCTCCTCCAGTAAATCTTACCTGATCTACTGTTTCTTTTTCAAGATAGCTATTGTTCGAGAAAGTACATCCACTCATAGAAACATTGCCACTACCACCAGTATTGTTGTATAGCACCAGTCCAGTTCCATTGCTGTTGGCAAATTTCAATAGTGACAAGAAGATGCCACTGCAATTATAAAAGAGTACAGCCTGTAGTCCATAATATTGATCCTGTTGATAAACTAATCCACAGTATTTAATAGCAAAATTATTGAGATTAACATTGATGCAGTTATTGAAAACTATTCCGGACCCATTTTGGTTGCTCTCATTCCCACTACATTTAATGTTACTTCTTTGTCCATTGATAGTCAATCCATTGAATCCAGTAAACGAAACACTTCCTTTTATAGCAAGAGTAGAGCTGTTGATCTCTATTGTGAGGTTACTAGTGATGGTACTGTGGGATACATATATCAGTGACTGACATGAGTGTTGTCCTTGAAGGCAGTCAATAGAATCATTTCCTTTATCTCCATCAATACTGATGTATAGAGAAGACACACTTTGAACAACAAGACAAACCAAGAAAAGACTTCCAGTCATCTTGTCAATTCAACTGATCGTAAACATAGATCTAGCTATATTTATTCCAGCTTTCTGTTGGTGACATTTACACAAAACAATGAAGCTGCTTAGCGTTTCACACAAGATCGCTTTCACTCATAGTGAAGACACGTTCATCATAAACATGTTGTTTACATTTATGGTTAAATCATGCAACTACTTAAGTATGAAAAGTAAAGAGTTATTTGCCTTGACTTGCTGCTTGCTCTGCATGTGGTAGTCTTTATCTATAATTAGCAATGTATTTTATTTCTCTGCAATGTTCAAAATATTATTTCTAATAAAAAACAATAAGGATAGTCTCTAAACTAAATCTACAAAGTAGCTAACTAAAGTACTTTCAGAAAATAAGATTATTAATATCACTCTATAGTTAAAACGTATT